TATATATATATTTGCTTTCAGTGTAAAAAAGAAATGTTTATATAGTATATATAGATGCATATTGTATATACGCATTCATATATAATTATATATGTATTTGTGTATGAAAGAAAGAAACATTTTCCAAACTGTTTTCTTGTATGTATTAGAAATGTAGTTTATATATATAATTTGTATGCTTTGTTTTTTCCTTTCTTATATGTAGTATTAAACTCTTGAACCGCCTGCATAAGCTGCTCAGCGCTTTCATCTTCACGGGTGCACTTTGTTAATTTATTAATATTTGTATTTTTCTTATTTTTTTAGTTTTCTTCTCTTTTTCGTTTTTTATTTTTATTTTTTTTTTTTACATTTTTTTCTTTGCTTTTTTTTTGTTTGGTTTGTCTTTGGGCGCTGTCTTTCATGTAATTAGTATTTAAATCTATTTGCTGATGGTTGTTAAAAATTGCTTAAGTTTAATTTCAATCGGTCTGTACTTTAATATTTACTTGTTAAGAGATTGGCAAGCCTTACACTGTTGCTCTATATTCAATTAGACTGTCTTACAATTGTTTTCCATATTTATATTCATATATACTCAGCTGTGTTCAGATACTAAAAAAATTGAGCTCAAATTATGACAAAATGTTATAAAATATTTTAAAATTAATTATTGTTATTATTTTTCATGCTGGCAGCTTGTTTGCTATTTATTTCATCTCTATATTATATGATCTCTCTTTGTAGTAATTGTTTGTGCCTAATAGGATCGAAATTTTGTTCTCTTAAATTGAACATAAGAAATGAAAACTATATGTGAATCGTGTTGAGCAAATATCATCAAAGTAAAATTTACAATTTCACCTTTTTATCAATATACATACGTAGTTTTTATTATATAATTTTCGCAATGATTGGAATTCAGTTGGTTTTTACCTCTTTTTTTTTTTAGTTTATCAAAAGCTAACCTTAACGTTACTAAACTGTCCCATAAATTTCGACAATCTTAAAAACACTACAATTTCAAAATTGATTAAAAAATAAAGTATGTTCATATTGTAAAAAAAATGTAATACGAAAATTCAAAATAAAAATTTTGTTTTTGTAGAGTTTCAAAATTCTGTGTTTGCTTATAAACGGTATCAAAAACAGTATATAAAGATTTCATAAACTCCGAAAATAAATAGAAAAATAAACAGAAAAGAAATAGAATCAAGAGTTATTTTATAAATCTTTCGATCCTCTGCTAAGTCATTCCATATACGAGTTAAACTATTGCTATATAAATATATTTGTTGTTGTTGAGCTCATTGTTTGAATCTTAATTCTTATTTTTTTCTTTTTTATGATTTATTTACGATGTGTGTTAAGTTTACTTTAAACATATGACATTTATTTCCTTTATATTTCTTTCTGTTTTCTGGAATTGTATTTTGAAATATTTGAATTTTTTTTTATATCTATGCAAATGAATATATATTGATTTTATGGTTATTAATGTTTTTGTTGTTGTTCTTCTCGTTGTGGTTTGTTTTTTATTCAGTTTTAGTTTTTTATATTCAAAGAAAAATTCTGATTGTTTTCAATGCACAAGATTTACAATGAGAAGCAGAATTGCTGTAACTTAAAAATTATAAAAGTAAAATGTTAAGATCTGTGAAAGTTTAACATTAGAAATTTATGTTGAGTTTAGGCATGTGAGCATCGCTTGAGATTTTTCAGTCTCGCCTGATGTACATGCGATTGTAATTTTTAAGATTTTTGTTGTTGTTTCTATTATGCTGTTGTTTTTTTTTTTTTTTTTCTTCTTATGTTTCGAAATTGTGTGCTTGGCTAGTTTTGTGGACAGTAACATACGACTTGATCGGAAGATCTTCAAGATACATTTGTATGAAAACATCAGCAGCCAATAATTGAGTGAGTGTGTGAATGAAATTGTGAGACCCAAGTCTAATGAATCTTTTCTCTTTTTATATATGTGTGTGTATATTTGTTTGTGTGTTTTGTAATATGTATGTATAAAGCTCTCTCTCTTGTGGTTGTGTATGTTGTTGTGCGCGCAATACTGGAGCAAAGCACATAATTTGCCATGCACCGTACATGTTTTGTGTACATTGATGATGTTCATTGTTATTGGTATTTTGTTTGCCTAGTATTTTTCTGGTATTTTTGTTGTGTTGCGTAGCATTGTATGCATTTTGGTGTTTACTACCAAATTTCAGTATTCCATAGTTTAATGTATTTTTTTTATTATTTAACTTTTATTTTTTATGAAAATAAAAAAGAAAGTAGAGTAAGAAAAAAGTTTTTTTTTTGTTTTTTTTTTTGTTTTATAAATAAAAGAATACCGAAAGATAGTTTTGTGTTCTGTTTAGATACATTCGCTGTTCTCAATGCAATAAAGGAGCGAACCTTTGCTTGAATGTGCCTCAGCGCATCAAACAATAGATCGATCGATCATTGTTTGCATCACCAAAAAAATCATGCAATTCATCAACACGCAGATATTATTGCTCGCAACCATTAAAATTTCAATCATTTGTGTGTTTTTTTTATACTCAATCAATATTTTTTTATCTTTTGCTTTGCCGTTCACATCCAGATGTAATGCAGTTTAGCTTGCATTCCACTTGCTGTGCACTCTCTGGGCTAGGTTTTTCTTTTATTATTTATATACTGAGTAGGGATATTCAGTATTTTTTTATACACTGCTCGTTTTTCAATTTTTTCTATTTGATTAAATTTTGTAATTCCAATTGATTATATGTGTTTTTCTCTGGTTTCAATTCGAAGGATGGATTATTCTATTGGTTTTGTTTTTGCATTTAGCTTAGGGATTGGTATTTGTTTTTATTGTTTTGGTTTTTAGGTTTGTTTCGAAAATAAAATAAAAATGTTAAAGGGAAGGGTTTTACGTAGAAATGTCTTGGATATGTAGTTCGTCATATTGGTTCTGTTTAGAAATGCAGTTTGATCTATGGGATTCTACTCTTATGTAGCTCATACAATTCCTTAAAAGTTTATTATTTTTATTTTTTATTAAATAATGTTTTTTTTTTTTTTTTTAGTTGGAAGCAATGGAATTGTTGATCATATGAGAAAATTTTGGAATCTAGAAAAGCTACATGCATAAACTGACTTGAAGTATTATTTTCAAGAAGATATATAGTTATATATTTTTTTTTTGCTTATCTATCTTTTCTTTTCTTTGACTCAGTTAGCCTAATAATTTGTTAGCTGGAAGAAGAGTCAGCTCAACGATAAAAAAAAATCAATTAATTAAATAATTATAAATATAAAACAACGTTGGGTTTCACCTACCATTTGGATCCATTAAATTTCTACTATGTATTTCACTTTATAAAGCTCAATGCTATATCAAAAGGAAATTGAGCGTATACAGTCGAAGTCTTCGAAACATTTTATGTAATACTGCAATTTCTTTCAAGTTGTTCTTGCTTTCTCTCATTTTTTATTTATATATTGGAAAAGTTTTCTGTGAAAAATTGCTCCTAAAGTGTAAAATATACAAATCTTTAAAGAAAATATACCCGTGTCATTCTTGTCGTCTTATTTTCTTCAACTGCTTCGTCATCTATTTCTTCTTATTATTTTTGAAATATTTCAAATGGAAGAAACTTAATTTCTGGTTTTTTGGGGACTTTTGGTTGGGAAATATTTTGTTTTTCTTTGGAATATAAAAAATGTAAACAAATTTTAGTTAAAGTTGTTCTTTTTTAAGTCTCTTTAGGGTAGGGTTTGCTTTAAGGAATTTGTTTAAACGAGTTTTTATTTTTAAATTATTGTTTTTCTTTTTTTTGTATTATTTAGTTAATGTTTTTTTTTAAAAGTGTTTTTCTCTTTTTTTTTGTTTTTTTTTTTTTAGTTTTTTTGTGTTTTGTTTTTTCTTTAAATGTTTTTAAATTTACTTAAAAAGTTTCGTTATTAATTTAATAATTAACAAATTGATTTTATAATAAAACCAATAACAATAACCACCTCGCCCATATGGCTACGAGACAATAATATGTGGTGCTGATAGTAGTACAGCTATTGTGGCTAATATTGTGAACATTGTGAATATGATAAGGCACAGTCTGTCAACGACCATAGCTGCAAATTTCCAATCATTGGCAATGTCATTGTCCTCGTCCTCTTTACGTAGCTATAGAATTACAATTTTTAACAAATGACGAGGTTTTTTTTTGTAAATTTTTGTTAAATGTTAATTGTAAATTTAATTATTAATATATATTTGATTGATTTTATGTATATGAGAGAGAAAGTTAGTTTGAGAAATTTTGGAGAGAGAAAAAGAAGCAAAAATAATTTCATATTGGTTTTATATCTTTACTAAATTAATAAAATTTTATTTTAAATGCAAACTAAACTAGGGTTTATATAGGAATTATATATGTACTTATATATTGTAGTGCAACTTAATTCTAAAATTTGAAGTATAATTTTAAAAAATCTTGTATGTATGTATATAATATATGCATGCAATTTGATTAATTCGTTCAAAAAATTTTCTTGTTGTTGCTGTTGCATAAATATTAGATAAGTATGCCTATTGAAGCCTTAAACCTCTGCAGAGATTTTAAATGACCCATAAGAAGCTTAAAATCTATTTAAATATTGCAAAACATTTAAAGGTCTTTGTTCAGTAGGTCGAAAATCTTTAAGACAATATATAAATATATTTGAATGTAATAATCTATATGGAGCTCACTTCAAACTTTACTTAATGTGAAATGAAATTATGAGTAATTATGGAAAAGAAGAAGAAAAAATAGTCTGAGACTGTGGAAGTCTCATAAGGCTAGACTAGTCGAGACTATATAAATACAAATGAACAGATTTGCTCCAACCAAGAGTTGTTTTATGGCAATAAGAAACTATAAATAATGGGAAAGTCACTTAAACTTGAATTAATAAGAACGGTTTCTGGATTTGTATTTGTGAGAGCGGAAATGTCGCTCTGCCTGTAGCCCTTCTCCCTGTCCTCATTTTCAATGTGTCAGACTGAGCTGAAGAGCGAGAACGAATCATGACAATACAAGTTTAACGTTTAAACATCCTCAGCACCAAATAGACAACTACATACACTCAACAGAATCCCTATACTATTCAATCCACTTTAGATTTCCATCTACTATGTAGCATGCTCTGCGAGGGTATATAAAAAGCATATATTTATATCAAATATGTGTTCTCCTCAAACGAAAGTAAAGTAATAATTTATTCAAGCCTTAAACAATAGTCTAAGTAGTTTGTTTACGTATGTTGATAACGAAAGCACTTACCTGATCAGTAATAAAGCGAATTTCCTTTAAGATTAAACCTAATTCATATTCTGTTGATGATTTGATGCACGTATGATGTGTCACCGCATCGGGCATTCGTGTGCTGCCAATTGGCCCAATGCTGCCATCGTCGCCTTGCCTGAAAGCCAAATAAGAAAGGTTACGCGTTTATTGGCAAGCCACTAAATTGGGATTAGGCTGTGCGTGTGAGTGTGTGTGTGTTCGTGTGGGCCATTGTCTGACTGTCTATCTGTGTACATGTGTGTGTGTGTGTATTCTTATTTTTGTTACCCATAAACCGTGCGATAGAAAGCCGGATTGTGTGGCAGTGTTCCGCCGGGCGTCATGGGGCGACAATTGTGTCGAAAATCATCATCAATGTCGAGCACATTGGCCAGCAGCGACTTGGAAGAGCTTCAAAATAGAAATCACATTTAGCATATAAACAGATCGTTGCCATATATAATATATGATATATAAATATATGTATAGTGAGAGTATTTGTTTAGTTTAGCATATAAGTACCGCTCTTTTAGCTCAACATCGGATAGTATCTGATGCTTGCGCTCGGACGATGTATCCGAGCAGGGCGTTGTCGGAAATTCCAATATCAGCGGACGTCCCGGTCGACTCATGCGCAATATCCATGGCAGCCAGCATAAAAATACGATGCGTATCTGCGATGCGTGCGGTGTGCAGCAGGTGAAAATTGAAACGTTTAGTAGACGGAACTGCAGAGATGAACTCGACTCCAAATGCGTGTAAAACGAGTTGTATTTTCTTTTTTCTTTTTCATGAGCCCCACTGACATGTGTGTGCGTGCGTGTGTGTATGTGTCTGGCTTTGGCCAAATATGTGGCATACTTAAAGCGAGCAGACAACGATTTATTGAGCTTTGACATGAACATAGACAAAGACACAAACACACACACACACACGATTATGATTTATATTGGATTCTGATTCAACAAATATGATGCCCATCCAGGGACAGACAGAGAGAGTGAGAATGAAGGAGACCAGTGTTGTGTATGACATTTGATTGTGGTGATGGGCAACGTGGTGTGCGTTACACTATTACACTTAGCTATAATAATATTTATGTGCGGCGCCTTTCGTCTGTGGCTCTGGCGCTTATTTATAGCTATGTTGCATGCAAAATTTATGATTTACAATAACACACACACACACACGTCACAACAGCAACAGTGATAACAGCAACGACAACAACAACAACAGGAGCAATAACAACAACAACAACATGAGCAAAAACACTGACAACAATTTTCATACATATTATCTAAGGCGGAGATCCACATAAATATGCACACTCACACACTCGCACACTCATTCAAACTCTGCTCTATTGCTTGTTGGCTATAAATAATCAACGCATTTACACACTCACTCGCATTCGCACACACTCACACTCACTCAAACACCCACACTTGACATTTATTCACATTTGATCCAAAAATGTCCGGAGGGTTTTCTGCAACAAGTTTTGTGCTACAAATTGATTTTAAGTTTCATTTTCAATTAGATTTTTGGGGCAAAGCTTCAATATTAAATATAATATGTATGAAATATTTATGCAATATTATTTTTATATAAATATAAATCTATTGCCACCTACAATCGTGTAAGAAACATTTCTTTGACATAATAAAAAACTAGTATTTTAAAATATTTAAAGTTTGTTATCGCACTTTAATTCTCGAGCGGATTATATTTAATCTAAGTTAAAATATATAGCTAGCCATAAATTACCTTAATACTAAAGGGGATTATCATTTTCATAATTTTTAATATTTATTACTTTCCCTTTTGCAATATGAAATAAGAAACATTTTACACCATATTTTTCAATTGAGTTTTGCAATTTTTTTAAATGTTTTATTTCTGTTGTAAATAAATGATAAATAATATATAATCCTATTTTTCTCTATTAAGATGACAATTGGTTTATATTTTTAAAATGAGTCAATAAGTATTCAAGCAAGCGAAAAATGTTTCAAATAAGATTTATAAGCTATAAATGATGAAGCTGTCATAAATCTATGACAAATTAAAAGTATGCTAAGTCTTTCTTTTAAATATTATTATTTGAGAATAAGTAATTCAATTTGTAAATCCAAACATTTGAAAAATATGTCATATATTTACTTTTGCTAATATATTAAATTAATTCAAATATTAATATATGACTTTCAAATACTTAATGGAATTAGATGTTCTACATATGATAACATATTTATTTTCAAATTTATTAAAAATATTTAATATGTATTTTATGGATAATAATAAATTCAGCTCCAAGTTTAAAGCCCTTTTATTTTCTTAATTTTTAAATTGCAGTCTAGCTACGACTTCCCCATTCTGAACTCAATCTAATGTGCCATTCTTTTATATTCTTACCCGCTAGAACGGCAAGTCATGCATTTAAATGTTATTCGATTAAATCTGTTGCCAAGCAAAATAAAGTCAGGCACAAGCGAAAAAGATTTTCTCAACTGCAAACGGAAGTTTTATTTGCCAACAAATCAATCGAGTCGCCCCCATGAAATATTCCATAACGTTGTTTACTTTTGATTAAAGCTCCAAGTGCAGCTGAGTAAAGAAACAGCTAAAATCGAATCGATTGTCATGCTAAGCTGCACTTCATTCGGTGACTAAACAACGTTTCATTCTATTTTTCTGGCTTGTTTTTTAAGCTTACTTGTTTTTTTTTTTTTTTTGGCCACATTGACATCTGCTGCAGCGAGTGCTTTACAATGTGGCCTCACCTACTTGCCCCTGCCACCCCTTCCATTGTCTTGTAGTTCTTTGACGTTGGCGGTTCGCGCTAACAAGCGATGGATACATGGAAATGCGCTTGAGGACGTGGCATGCAAACCAAATGCAAAGTTTCAAATGCGATCCAATGGAGACTCTGGCAGCTGGATGGGGACTAGGTACGTAGGGCCATGCTATCCATATCGCTGGGCCATGGGATGGGTTCTGCCACAGACCGCAGCTGTGTTAGAGGTTCTTTTCTCTTCTTTTTTGTCGCTGGCTTTGTGCAAATTTTGTGCAAATTGATTTGTTGTTATCACACAGAGCAACGTGGCTTGAAGCGAGTGTTGGTGATAGAAAGAGAGAGAGAGAGAGAGAATGAGAGAGGGAGGTGGAGCCCTGCCCAAAGCGCTGCACATTTCTAATGCACCTGCGTTTGCCAATTGGCTCAATTTTCATGCCCGTGTCACGACAACTTCTTGCAACTGGGCCAACTGTCGCCTTGCCACATATCTACGTGTGTATKTGTGTGTGTGTGTTTGTACTCGTTTTGGGGCTTTACTTCAATTGCTCCAAATTCAATTGCATGTTGAGTCGGCACAAGGGCCTGTCCACATTCTTGAAAGCGAAAAAAAAAATGTGGAGGAAACGGCTATAGAAAAGTTTTCATGTGACTGACTTCTTAAAAGCCAATTGACTTTCTCGCTGAGCTGCCTTCAGTTTAGCGGGCTCCCCTGCTTAGCCAACTTGTGAGCCAAGAACTTGTCCTATGTATTGTATACGGCTCGCAAACACACACATACACACACACACACACTAGGAACGTTGGAAGCATTGCGAGCTTCCATTATGCTCTTCATGCAATTGCAATAATGTGCAGAAATTGCTTTCCACTTGACGTCTTGGCCATGTTCAATTGGCTCAAATAAAAATTCTAGCAAAAAGAGGAGAGAGCCAAGCTCATGATAGCCAGCATTAGATGTGCATTATGTGCTCTGGTTTCAGATATTCTAATTTTGCCAGCGATACGAGCACTTGACATGAAATTGCTTTCATAGGCACTGGCAAGCGGATATATAAATTTCAAATAATTCGCTGAGGAAATGAACAGATGAAGTTTGTTTGCGGCAGTGGAACGTTATTGTTCTTTAAATAAATTGACTTATAAAAGTTATAAATAAAATTGTAGACATATAAACAGAAATAATTTGAAAAAAATCTATATGAGAAGCTCTATATGAATTTGCTCTTTGGCTAACAAATCTTACTGTTATTTTTTATTTTTCTTCCCTTGTTTTAATACATAATACATTTTATAAATATTATAAAATTATTATAGCCAGCCAGCTTTATATTTTGGGAACTTATTCAGCGTTAATCCGACACTCATATCACTCTATAAATAAGCTTTAATTAAATCTCAATTAGCTTAAAATAATATATTTAACATAGGCTTAACGCGCTTGGTATGACATTAATCTCTTTATATTATAATAGCTAACTAATTATGTAATCGTATATTGAATTAAGCTCTTAAATTACGGAAATAATTGGTCCAAAAAATAGACAACCTACAACGCACACCACATGACAGCATTGCATACACAAACACATGTAAAGCAATTTACACAACTGAGCCTTAAATACATATACGGGCAGATAAAGACATATAAATATGTATAGCATATGTATATGTATATATAATGATATTAGTCTGCACTTTGAGCTGTGGAGAAAAATACGAGTAGTAAAGTAAAAAGTAGAGCATATTGTGCAACTAGCTCAGAGTGAATAATTTGGGTTAGTTGGATTTCAGTTCGATTACATTTGGTTTTTTTTTGTGAATGGGTAAATGTGAACAGGCAGGCGAAATATACTTATACATATAGACAGAGAAAAAGAGAGAGAGAGAGAGAGAAGGAGCGTGACATTTGCTTATATAAAGTAGGAAAAAAGAGAACACAAGTTATGGGCCCAACATCAACATTACGATATTTTTCATTACATAAATTATTTTATAGTAGACATATTTAGTACTCTTTCTTTTTTTTTTTTTTTTTTGTTCTTTTGTAGCAGACATGTTGGCTAGTTCACATAGTTCACATAGTTAACAACATTTAGTATTTTTTATTTTATTTTTTTTTTGTACTCTGTACATCCGTCCGTCACTTTGCTAACTCGTAATATATTTTCTGGGTCACACACACACTGACACATGGACGCGTGTGGGGGTGTTGGGGACTTTGGCCAAATACAGAGTTCTAAGACAACAAAAACAGCTTGCACAATCGCCTCTAAGTAGGCTTTAAATGAACACAATTATATAGATATTTATATAATAAAAAACGAAATATCAAATATACGAAATATATGAAATTAAAAATGTATTACAACAACAACAACAAACGGGGCAGAACAACAATATAAAATTACAATAATGTATTCATATTTATATATATATATATATTTTTGTGGATATATATACGTTGTTGGATATAAGTATAAATAAATATAAATATTATGCAGGTGCAGCAACTAGTAAAATTGCATTTTGCATGACTTAATTTTTGTTTTATTGTTTCTTTTTTGATTTTATTGTAGGTTTCCAAGAGCCATGAATGAAAGATGATTTAAGTGAATACTGTATATATTGTATATATTAGAGATAAATTCATTTGAACAAATGTTTCATTTATGAATTTATTGTAATTATTAAGGCACGAATGCTTGCCAAAAATATGATAGCCTAGGCGTTGTTCTCTATTCAAATGTCATCTTCGGTGCAGCGAGCAAAGGTCTGCAGTCGACAAGAATATGTAAATGTAATATGTAAATGTTAAATAGATGCACAAGCTTAAACATATTACTTCCATAATAAATATGAATTATTTTAAGACATTCTTCATTTAAGGCAGATCTATACCATTATGGTATATGCATTGGCAGACTCATCAAGCTTGTTGCTATTTAAGGAAACTGCAATTGCGCATTGATTGCTAACATTCAGAGCTCTAGAAATATTTAATAAGATATTTAGATTGCATAGTGGCAATTGATTTGCTTTATATTTTTCTTGAGCTGCCACAGCCACTCTAAAACATTTCTGACTAACATTTTCATTCTAATATATAAACTATTCTTCTTGAAAATATACATACATCTATTTAATCACATTTGCTTATCATTATATTTCAGGCTCTTACTTGAATGCTATGCAACAATGAACCTGCTCTAAAGGATCGTCCAACGATAAATTAAACTGCGCTTTTCACCTCATTTGCATTCGGGCTATCACTGCACTGCATTTATGAAAATGTATTTGAATATTACGTTTAGCATAAATTTAGTTAGGATATATACATAATTTCACTTGAATGAACCAACATTCAGCCGGAAGCACTTCAAATATTTGCGGCATTCTGGCCGAACGAATTGTGGTAAAGCTTTGCAATTTAGTTCGAGGCTACAATTAAAATTTGTAAATTGCTGATTAAAGTTGGTGGATTTATATGTGAATTTTATTTTTGTTTCGTTTCGTTTTTTTTTTTTTATTAATTTTAAATTTTGATTAATTTTTACACGGAGAAAGCAAAAACATAAATGTACACAAACAACAATAACAACGCAAATTAACTAAACAACAAGTAACAGAGGAAACACAACAACAACAGCAACAACAACAACGAAAACATTTCTCTAACACATAAATTATTTTTAGCGCATTTCTCACAAATCAAAACGAATAAATATATATATAGAGCGAGATATATATATATGTATATGCACTTGGTTTGTCTCTGTTTTATATAAATTATATGAAAGTAAAGCTAAATGGCTAATGGCAGAAGCAGAGCAGAGGAGCAGATGCTGCTGCTGCTGCTGCTTCTATGTTTTTTTTTTGCCCTGATGATAGGTGATGAAAGGCGGTGGGTGTGGCGGGGCTAGCGTTTCGCATTACTGCAATCTTTTTATTTTTATTTCTGTTTTGTTTTTTTGTTTTAGTTATTTGATTTGGATACGAGTTTGATTTAGATTTGTGGTTTGAATGACCCATTATGGAAAACTTACCCATTCGGACATTTCGTGCGTATCAGCATTTCGATGATGATAATTTAATATTAAAATCGTTGACACAACGGATGAAGCTACCATAAACATTATGCAATTGAAATATGTACCTGTTGGTTGGTTGGGCGTGTTGTCATTTTATATATATATTATATTGAAACAAATATTCATATAAATATATATATATATATTTATATATGTATGCAGGAGGAGCATAGTTTATATTTTTAATCGTTTATCGTTGGGTGTATTTGTGTGATTTTTTCAATGTGGTGCAAATAGGGGTTTTCATTGGATTGTGTATTGTTGTTTGTTTGTTTTGTTTGATTAGTTTTAGTAGTTGTTTGTGTGTGTGGTGTCGAGCATAGTTCAGGGTAGCATATTTCGTTCAGAATTCATTCAGTGTTTCATATATATTATTGGTTTAGCAAAAGTTATATAATTGATTTTTATTTATTTATTTTTTTTTTGAAAGAAAGAAAAAAAGGCAGAGAGATATATACAAATATTTGAGTTAGTATTTTTATATGAAATGCATCAAAATCTTTGTATCTTAGCAATTTACGTTTAAGGCTTTCTTAATAGATTTTATAGGGGAAAAAATATATTCATATTTTTAAAACACACACACACAATTAATATTTTTAGTGATTATATAGAATTAGACACTCAAAAAAACTGAATTAGATAGTTTAAATTGAACAATAGAGTTAGGTTATATTGTATTTTGAATTTTTAAGAAGTTTTTTTAATTTGAATATTTCAATATAAATTGGAACAAAGTTAAACTGGCAGTATTTTTTTTTTTTTTTTTAGTAATAATTTTAAAGATATTAATTTTAGAGATTAGAGAATATAGCTCAATTGGTTGTAATTCAAATAATTATTTTGTATGGGTTGTTTCTTAAGCAAATATGAGTTTGTTTCAATTATGAAAACTATCTAATAAGGGATGGCATAATTAATTGCATAATAGAATCAATTTAAAGAATTTGGAGTCTTTATTGCTTTCAAGAAACATCCGATACAGAATGGCATATCGTTCGATTGGAAGTATTATAAATGGAATTGAATTATCACAACCCAAAAAGGATACATAATATAGCGTGCAAAAAACTCGTTTTCAAATGTGTGTGCATGTTATCAAACCAACTCGTGTGTTCTGTGTGTCATAACTGCAAATTACTAGTATTTATTGGGAAATTTCATATTAAATTCTCTTTAAAGCTCTTCATATTTTTTTGTTGTTTAGTTTTCTTTCATTTAATTGCATTTATTAGTTTTTATAATTTCTCTTTTAAGTTTCTTTATTACATGTTTAGCATCAGCTTGCAGTTTCTTTCTGCACTTTAAAGTCAAATTGATTTTTTGACTTTAAAGCCAAAGAAACTGCTTGAATAAATCACAGAAAAGCTGATCCAAGGATTTTTTCGGTTTTTAAAATGGTGTGTCAAAGTTTTAATATTATAAGATCATCGGATTTTAGTTGATTATTAAAATCGTTTTAGAAATGCATGAATATATATGAATGTAACTTCAACAGCAACGTTAGAGTTATGATAGATATAGATATATATAAGTTTTTATATGGTTCTATATACTGTGAACTGTAAACAGAAGAACACACGAACTCAAAAGCAAAGTCGAACGTAGACACAGCGCAACAAAACAAGTATATTTATATATGTATATGAGGATATTACAAGAATTACATAGATATGCATATGTATATATAGAACATATATATGTATACGTTAATAGGTTAAGGAAATGTGGTAAACAAAATGGTCTTACCTAACAGTGGCACGGCATCTGAGGTGGCGGGCATTGTCTCGGCAACCATATTAAGGAACACGGTCAACGAGAGCAAGATCGTAACACCTAGATATTGAAAACGAATATATATGGTATAATATGTGGCATTTAAGTATTTATTTAATATGCATAGAATATGAATAGCAATGTAAGTTATTAAATAACTATATTTTAGCTAGTTTTCAGTTTTGGCATATATTTATTTTATGGTCAAAGCCAACTTAAAACTTAGTTAAGCTATAATGAATATAGCTAAAAAGTGCCTTTACCATATCCATCATTGCCTGTCAAGCTCGCACTTCAACTACTTAAAGTTCTGTAAGGAGCCCATCAATAACTGTTTATGATATTCAAATTTGTCTGCTCTCCGGCTACACCACACCCGTCCGTCCCCCATTTCAGCCGCATAGCTCATATTTTTGTAGCCCCGTCAAGGGCTGCATTACATTATAAGTTCAATAGTTTGGCTCATCTTTTTCACCCTCAGCTCATGGCGTCATCAACGCCCATGCTCATAGTAATAACATCTAATGTGAGACGTCAGTCAGCCAGTCAGTGAGTCAGTTAGTCAGTTAGTCGGCTCCAGGCCCGTCTAGCTGCTCTCTAAGCACTCATCAACAGCAAGAGAAGGCCGTTTTTTTTTTTTTTTTTCTATTTTTTTTTTTAGCTGCTGCTGGGTTGCCTGTCATTATTGTAAAAAGCACTTGGCAAATACTTTTTGAAGCGCCTCAAGAGCTGACAAGTATTTTTTTTATCGCATAGCAAATTCATATGAAAAATATTCTTATCCATTCAGCTGAATATGCGGAATTAACTAGATAAATTGCTTAATTGAAGTTGAATGGGAAATAGGTCAGTAGAGAACAGCCGTTAAGGCAAAGAAGAGAAGTTTTTAAGTATTTTTTCTTCAACTCAATTATTTATTAAATTTTGAATATTTTCTACAATTTTTTCTGCTTTCCTAGCTTAGAAATGTATTAAGAATTGTATGGTGAATAATATTTTTAATAATGATTCAAATACGGCTTAAACACATTAAAACATTTCAAGAAATATTTGGTTTAATTTTTTCTTTTTTGCTTACTAATAAGTTTTTTGAAATATGAATAATAAATATATAATATAGAGGAGAGTTGCTTACCCAGCGACAGTTTTTCACCCGAATCCGGCGGCAGTGTAAATCCGAGCAGAGCCATGGATGCAATCAGCACACAGGGTATAATCAGATTAAAAAAATAGTACAATGTACGTCGTCGTATGATAATGGCAAATGTGATGTCTATATACGGTTCCGGGCAGCAGTTGTAGTAGATCTCATTACGTTTACCAGGCACACCTAGGAGCAGCGCATGCACCGCATAAAAGATCAGTATATGTATTAGTAAAGACAAACTCTCAATTCGCACATAAATCAGTTTCTCGTGTTCGTTTTTCTGTTTTTCTCTTTCTCGTGTCAACTTGGGCCATTGTCTGAGCTTTATGTCTAAATTGAGCATGGCATACAGGCAAGAGAATAAGTAAATAGTATATATGTATATAGAAAGAGAGCGAGATATATATTTAGATAGAGAAAGTATATTTGGTAAAGCGTGTGAAGAGTAGAAGAGTATTGAAAAGCGTTAAGAAATCTGAGAAAAGTTTCATGTCTATGTGTGTGTGTATTGCTTAGATTATGAATAGGTTGAATAGCTGATAGGAGAGTACGAAATGATGTATGCATTAGGTATGAAAACTTTAAGAGGCTGTGTGCATGCTGTGGTTTTCTTCAAGTGTAGTCAAAAAGTTCTCAGTGGGAGTGGGAGTGGCAGTGGGAGTAGCTGTGCGAGGGGGTGTGCGAGTGTGTGGACGTGTGTATACTTTTATGCCCTACTGTAGTTTCTGGACGAAAAGTTTTATTTGCATACGAGCGAGTAACTAATTTGAAGTAAGCGCCGAGACAAACATGTTTCCACAAACTTTTATCACTTTTGCTTGAGTTGCTCGAGCAACAAGCAAAAGTTAGTTAAAGCAATGCAAACGCTTAACGCTCACAATTTGAGGGCTGATTTTTGAAGACCCAGCATAGCTATCAAATCTATTTATCTATCTATTTTTAGATGTGTGTGTGTATGCTTGTATATAGATAACTGTAAATATGCTTTAGCAGGTAAAGCCTATCTCTTAATTGCCAACTTAACTTTTATAAGCTCATGCCCTCCATACATGCATAAAGAGCATTGAAAAAGTTTGGCATATGCCAAGGATTGGGCTAAATTATGTGCTGTGCAGCTCGCGACTTAAGCATAGATTACTAGCGCGGATTACACAGCCAGCGCACAAAGTATTTAAAAATTATCCTAGCTAATTGTGGAATAACTGTGGGATACTTCCACAGAAAAGTATTTTTGCATAAACTGGCAGCCAAAGGCGATTGCCGCAAATTCGCATTGAAAAAGGAAGCAGAAAGATAAAAAAAAAAAAAATGCTAAAGCAACAACGAAAAAAATTTAAAAGCCGGGCAACAACTTAAGCAAAACTCCCAAAAATTAAGCAGTAACAAAGAGGAAGAACGAATTATATATATATATATATGTGTATATAGAAAAACAAAGGCGAAATGAAATCATGAAAATCAGTATAAAAAGAAAGGCGAAGCAAGTAAATGCAGCAAAAGCAAGAAAAGACGAACGAAATAAAAAGACGCAGGCGAAATTTGTTGCACAAACTTTCTCAGCACTTTTGTGTGTTGTGAACTTTTGTGGCCAGTGTTGAGTAGGGAACTTTTTTTGTGTCTTCCTCTTCTGTGATTGTGTGCAACTGCTAATTTATAGTGTGCGTGTGTGTGTGTGTGTGTGTATTTGTATTTGTCTTTTAATTTCTTAATTGGTTTGGTGCGTGGTTGAAAGAGCCAAATCTCTTTCACTGAACAAAAGTTCAGATCTATGTGGTTGACTGTGTATGTGTGTGTGTGTGAATGTGTGGTTGAGTGTATGGTTGGGTGGCTGGCAGTTTAGTTGGTGTTTATGTGGGCGTGCGCAATTCAGCTGCCTTAGCATTTTATGCGGAAAAGTGCAATTTACGCTTCTATGTGCAAGTTCTGCTCGGTCCCTTTTAATTTCTAACATTTCCCAATTTGAGTTTTTATTTCATTCTAGTATTTGCCAGCTGAAGTTGTCTTAGCATTTTGGGGTGGAAGTAATCAAAACTAATGTCAAAAACCATTTGAGAATTACAAAAAGATGCCAATGAATTGGCCAATGGATAATGAAAAGCAATTAAAGAGCTAATAAAAAGGGCGGCATAAAAGGAAAGTTATAATAGTAGATATTTAATGGGGATATCTTCTCTATATAGAGTATAGTAGTATTTTCACTACGTTTTCAAATCACCTGCGGCTGGGCTTCACTTAAAAGCTATATCAAATGCTATTATATATGTATATATTTGTATGTATTATAATTTCTAGGCAGCATTCATTAGAGTCTTAAGAGCACTTGCACTTCTACACTGTTTTAGTTCATGCCATAAGAGCTTCGTTTAAAAGAAATAAATTAAGAGATATTTGAGAGAATTTGAGAAAATTTTCTAGGGGGTTGCATACACGGGCCAGGCCTTACCTCATACATAGGTTTATTTATCTTTGAACTACGCGCCAGTGGGCGTGGCATAGCATAGACTAGCTACAAAAAACTAGATGCCAAACTATGCTACGCCACTGACACGTACTTAAACAATATTTGTTGTTGTTTAAACTAGTTTAAACGAAACGTTTACGCGGCTATTTCGGACTTGAAAAGTTAAAGCGCCCAAGTTTTGATGATAGCTGATTGATATTGATATTCATTTAATAATTTGTTGATAGAGTGAGTGAGTGGGAGAACACTGGATAAGCGTGTGATTGTTTTTGAGAGAGAGAGTATTAAACAGTTGTAGAGTAAAGCTTAAAGAAGTTTAGTTGGGGTTTGCTTAGTTTGACAGGGTTCAATAGATGCTGTACTACATTCCGTATTCGATGGCCTCGAAATATAAATACATACATAAATATGATAAATGCAAGTTATTAAAATTAAGATGTGTTCAGAACAGTGATGTGAAACGTTTCCCATTGATTGCTGCTGCCTGCGTTGGCGCCTACCAACACTGGCACAACAATCAACGGCTCAAAATATAAACGTTAATTACTTCTTTCATTTTTTTTTTTCCATTTTACAGTCTGAGTTTCGAACGGAACGAGTTCGGAACTTAAGCGCGCAACCTGAACCCTGCGTCGGTTGAGTGAGAAATGTCGAATGCCATGTTTTTGTTTAAAGATTGCAGTAGTATTGTAGGTAGAGTACTAGACAAGTACCATGAAAGTCTTTAGGCTTTAGGCCAATGTGTGGGAAAACAAGTTTTGCCTCTATCCAGGCAAACGAGAAATATATTTATTATTGTTTCAAGTGGATGACAATGCCAATGCTTTGGCAGTCATTTCTCAATTTTTCTAATGTCTATGTTTACGTTGTATTTCAAGACAGATAGACAGAGAGAGAGAGAGAGAGAGAGAGAGAGAGAGACAGTGAGGGTAAGAGACAGAGAGAGAGAATGTGAGTTGGAGAGAAAATTGCTTGACATAAGCAATGGATACCCCTGCTCTAAAGCCAGTTTTGTCTTTGTATTTCTCTTTTTTTTTCAAGAGAATTGTTTATCGTTGTTTTTTTGTTCTTGTTCTTGCATAATTTTCGTTTTGTTTCTGGCATTGGCTTACTCACCCAGTAGTTCCCACTCGCCGTTGAGCACGTAACTGCTGATATCACCGCCAGTTTCATCTTGTAATTGCAAATCCAGCTTTAGTTACAATGGATAATAAGGGGGAGAGGGTAGAATAATATAAATATATTTATATATCGCTACGCCATCTCCACCTCAAACATAACAAATAAATAATTATTAGAAATCATAAAAATACTCAAAAGATTTGATATAATTTTGTTTGTTCTTTGTAAGCATAACAACTACGAGCTGTGTACTCCCTTGGTTGCCTTGCTTTTCGCCCTCTCGCAAATTGACTGAATCAAACCTGAAATCCATCATAGGTCCAGCTGCCGAATTTCATTTCGCAGCGCTGATCATCAAATGGAAACCATGTGATATCTATTTTACACGTCGACTTGAATATGCCGGGCGGCACATAGAGACAGGAGCCATTGTTGCGCACCACGACGTTCGTCTGGTAGGTGCCGTCGAAACCCTCGTCGGCGCTGTTGTACATCAGGACGTCCGGCTTCCAGATGCGATGCGGCGGTATTCGCAGATCCTTAACGCCGCCATAGTCGGACGTATTCCAGCGCAAGTTCATATCGTTCCACTCCAGTTTTAGCCACACATTCGTGACCAGCAATTGATTTTTCTCGTCCTGCAACGACAACAAAAACAGAAATTTCATTACAATTTCATTTAATATTCAATTAATAGGAAAATAGAAAATAGAAAACAGAATTAACAATTTAAACGAAAAGGACATTATAATTACCATAGGATTTGGATATAAATATTTATAAATGCTGAATGAAGGCAAAGCATTTTTTTTTAAATATTTTTATTTTAAAATATTATTTAATTATCTAAATATTCGTTTAAAATTTAAATTCCAATATAAAGCCCTATTAATCTCTATTACTTCTGTATTAACTTTTTCATGTATAAATATTATTTTGTTATTATTAATTAGTTAATAATTTATATTATCCATTGATTATGTATAGTAGACAAAAGCTCTTGCTGTATCCTTAATAATTATGCAACATTATTAAAGCCGCATCGCTTTAAGATATTATGCAACAAATCGTCGAGTCCATCCGCAATAAGCTCAAACATATTGCTATATACAATGAGGGCAGCCCTTTGGGCCACGAGCTTTTTCATGAGCCACCGGAACTATTGCATAATTGATGATTGACAGGCGAAAAGCATTTCAATTTACAAACAGCTTTAATCAAGCGAGTTAAATTTTTAAATACGCGCCAACCAAACGCTGCAAAAAAATAAATGTATA